GCGACGACAGTCTGACGCTCAACTGCCTCGGGTCTGGGGCAGCCCTTTCGCATCTCGAGCTCGACGAGCGCATTCGCGCTCGGCGTCCCGTCAGCGACATCCTCCCTCTCCTTTTTTGCTCCGCTGTTGCGCCAGGCGGCGGCGGGCGTGGGCGCAGGGGCTTCCTCTCATCGACAACTGTCGTCTGTGGTTCGGTTGTCTCTGCTTCGACATCTCGTCTCTGTGTCCTGCGTCAGCAAGTGGCCAACACCGTTTGCGCTGAGCCCTTGTCGAACAGTTGCGCCATCGTGTGCGCTTCGCCGTCATCGAAGAACCGCGCCTCCTCGAAGAACTGTGAGCCGTCAAAGAGCAGCGCCATCGTGTGCGTTGTGCCCTCTTCAAGGTAAAGTGTTGTTCTGCCTGCCCTCGTGTCAGGCATGTTTGCCGACCCATGGGAGCGGCCGCGTCGCGCCACCTGTTTCAAGTCGCGAGCGGGACCGTGATTCTTGCTTGCCATCATCATCATCATCATCGCCCCCATCATCACCATCATCGTCGCCACCACCATCAGCGTCATCATCTTCATCATCATCATCATCATCACCATCATTGTCATCATGATCATCATCTTCTTCATCAACATCATCATCATCATCAACAACATCATCATCAACCTCGTCAACGTCATCAACATCGTCATCATCATCGACAACATCATCAACATCATCAACGTCCTCAACAACATCATCATCATCAGCGACATCGTCGCCGTCATCGAAATCACCGCCATCGTCCTCTTCGTTTTCATCGCCATCATCAACATCATCATCATCGTTGTCATCATCGTCATCATCATCATCGTCGTCATCACAATCATCATCACCACGAACATCATCATCGAGATCATCATCGTCATCAACATCGTCATCATCGTCAGCGACATCGTCGCCCAGATCAACATCACCACCGTAATCGTCACTATCATCGTGTTCATCACCGTCGTCATCATTGTCCTCATGTCGTGCCACGTGTCGCAAGTGGCTGGGACGGCGGGAACGGATGACGTGGGCATCAGGGCACACGGTTTGCGTGTCCCGTTATGCTTCTCTCTCATTCGTTCGACGCGACCGCCCCCACGACTCCTGTTTGGCTTGGCATTGAAGAAAAATTGTCGTTGACCACAAGCTGGGCATTGCAAACCACTCCCGCGCGGTCGAGGCAAACACAAAATCGCCTATTCCCAGCGGAACACGAAACCCCTTCGAAACACTTCCCTCGCTCGTTTGCTGTTCTCAACAAAGAGATTAGAGGTTGGTTATCACAAAGGAGACGCATGGGCTGCGCACGACCGTTGTTGGTACTAAGCGTCGCGCGGTGGCCACGGTGGGAAGGATGCCCGCCGTCCACATGGCGTGCAGTGAGAGGTAAGGTATTCATAAACAGGAGGGGGTCGTCGTTCTGTATTTGTGTTCTCGCCGCAACACTTGAGCCTCCCTCCCCGAAGAGACTATGCCGTCAATCCCGGGAGAGTTGTTGTCGTCTCCATCCCGCGCACACAACGTGCACCTGATCCACCGTAGAGGCCATGGATGTTGAGCGCGCGCTCCTGGCGCTGGTCGTGAGGGATGCGATATCGCATTCCGCACGACAAATGCCAGGACTGTGCGCGCAACATCCACAGGCTCCAGAACGAAGAACGCACACGTTGTGTGCACGCGATGGAGAACGTCTGCGCCGCTCGCTGCAATGACGATGGCGTTTCTTCGGCGTGAGCGCCGCATGTTTCGTGACAACAACCTCGACACGAAAACATGTCCTCGTTCAGTAACGAACAATCCGGCCACCTCCGGGAAACGTCTCAGTCATCGGGGCAAGGGGGGTCGCCATTGTCACCGCAAGCTCGAAACCAATAACAGCCAAACGAAAAACGGCGCGTGGCGTGTGGTTGCCTGGCGAGATGGGAAGTTCGGATCCCGGCGAACTACAGCAATCATGCGCAGTGCTCTCGCGAAAGCAGCAATCTGTTGTGGTCGCTCGGCCGCAGGGAGAGCACGCGCAGGTGCGAAAATAGCGCATGATTGCTGTAGTTTGCCGGGATCCGAAGTTCCCATTTTTTTGGCGGTTGTTGGTTTCGCGTTTGCAGTCACAATGCCATCCCTGGTTGCCCTGATGACTACGTTTTGCGGGACACAGTTCCCGCCTTTCGGGCGTTGGGTCGATAGTTCATAACGCCATGCCAGTTTTCAGCGTGAGACGAAGTTCGGATCCCGGCGGACTTGCAATCTGAAGCATGCGAAGTCGCGGGCTGCTCGGATGATTATTGTTGTTTCGACCGCGTCGCTGAAATAAGACGCTTACGGTTTGCATGGATCTTTTCAGAGTCCTGGTTGCATGACTGTTCGCTTTGTCGATGAGGATAAGCGGGGTCCATGGGGGTCTATTGGGGGCCGCGCTGCGCCAATTTCCGACGTGGTGCACCTGCGACGACCATTTCTATTTTGTGTGCTCTGTTGGAACAAACACTTGTGAGCAGCAGCAGGGCCTCCCTGAACATGCAGCCAAGCCTAGCGTTCCTTCTGTGCAATTCCACACCGGTCATCCAAATATCCGTCGTCCCCCCGTGCAAACCGGTTCATGGCCAGTCCAGCAAGCACCAAGTTCGGATCCTGGCGGACTTTGAGGTCCCGCGTAAATTTAACCGCCGTTTTCGACGGCCACGACTGTCGAGTGCGTTCTGATTACGAGAGGCCTCCGGGCACGCAAAAGTGCTCGCATGAGGCCTGGAGCTTCAAGTGTGCGTTGATTGCGCGAGGACTGTGGGTGCGAAAAATTGCTCACCTTCTGAGATGCCCTTCGAGGGGTTTGTCGGGGTTGCCGACGGTGATAGCGGCCGTGTCCCTTGTCTGTGTGTCGTCGATCTTTGTTGCCCCCAGAGGGTTTTGACCGTCCCGGTGCGCGGATTCTTGTCGCACACATGCNTGTCCCTTGTCTGTGTGTCGTCGATCTTTGTTGCCCCCAGAGGGTTTTGACCGTCCCGGTGCGCGGATTCTTGTCGCACACATGCTCGTGTTTCTGCCTGGTTTCCGGTTCGCGCTTTCGCACGTCGACGTTACCGGCACGCGAATCGGGGGTCGCCTTGTCGACTGGCCGAATCGGGGTTTGGAAGGGTTGCAGGGGGGGTCTTTCATCAGTTTCTACATATTTCTTGTCTGCGCGGTTGGGATGTCCGATCTCGATGAACTCTTGCCCTAGGGGTCAGTTTGGGGTCGCGCTGCGCCCGATTTTGTGGTGGTGCATCCACCGCTGCCCTTTGCTCTGCGTGTGCTGACGTTAAACGACAGCTTGAGAGCTGCAGAGCCTTCCTTCTGTGCGGCCGAGGATAGCGTTCCTTGTGTGCACCCGCTGGCGCTCCGTTCCACTGACACCGACCGCGCAAAAACAGGTTCCTTGCTACTCCCGCACCGGCGAAATTCGGATCCGGAAGGGCTTCGAGGCGCCGCATGAATCTGACCGTTGCTTTCGACGGCTTGGACTTCTCCGTCCGTCTTCAATGTCGGCGGCCTGGTATTGCGCAAAATTGCTCGCCTTGTAAGCTGCCCTGAACGGGGTTTATTGGGGTTGACGACGGTGTCGCTGGCCGGCTCCATTTCCGGTGTGCGGTAGATCTTCGTTTATCGGCGCCCCAAATTGCGGTGCGCCCGAGCAACGCCTGCTTCTGTGCAAACGCCATCCACCACTTACGAATGCAGGCGAATCCACCAAGTTCGGATCCTGGCGGACTTTGATGATCGACACGAATCTATCCGTCCTTTGCGTGGCGCCTGAAGCTTCGAGTGTGAGTTGATTGCGAGAGGACTGTGGGTGCGAGAAATTGCTCGCCCTCTGAAATGCCCTTCAAGGGGTTCATGGGGGTTGCCGAAAATAAGGGACACGGCCGTTGTCACCGTCGGCAACCCACATTAACCCCTTCGAGGGACACTGACAGAAGCCGCGCGAAAACAGGTTCCTTGCTACTCCTGCACCCGCCAAATTCGGATCCCGGCGAACTTAGAGGCTCCCTGAAAATTTGACCGTTATTTTCAACAGCTTGGACTGCCCAGTCCGTCTTCAATGCCGGTGGCCTGGTAGTGCGGAAAAGTTCTCGCCTTCTCAGTTGCCCTGAAAGGGGTTTATTGGGGTTGACGACGGTGTCACTGGCAGGGTGCATTTCCGGTGTGCCGTGGATCTTCGTTCATCGACGCCCCGAAATGCGGTGCGGCCGAGCATCGCCTGCTTCTGTGCAAACGCCATCCACCCGTTCCAATACCTGCAGCCGCG